GGTATCTCTGGTTTTCATTTGTTTTGATCCAGTGTTTATCCAGAAAATTGTTCTTCGACGGAAGTAGATTACGATTCGTGATTTAGGGTTAATAATTCGATTGGTTCTTCCATGAACATTGGGCTAATTTTACTTGCAATCGATTCGGCAAAAAGATTCCAAAAACGCATTCTTTAGATTTCGCAAGTTTTTTTCCTTGATTTAACTGTGTACTGCATTTCAATTTTGGTCTATGATTTTTTAGCATGAAATTGAGGAACCTAAGCTTGAAGTTGTTCTTCGTGAGCTGCAACAAGAGATGGTACAGTAATTTTGTCAACTTTGAATGGAGCTTTGGGAGCTCCGTTATACATCTCTTCATGGTTTTAAATTATTTATCTAAATATATGCTTTGTTACTTTAATAAATAATAAATGACACGTTTTTAATTATAATTAACAGAGTTAAACTTTTTTAAACGGAGTTACTGTTTTGTTAAATGGCGTTTACTATTCCGTTTAAAATTTTGACGGCACGTACAAAAGTGCCACGTTGATGGTTTATATTGTGAATAATGTCATTTTGGAGATTTAAAGTACTAGTGATAAACTTTGGATGTTTAAAGTGTCAATGTATGCCACCTTCGATGTTTTTTTATGCGTTTTTTCCATTAAAAAAGCTATGGACCTTGGTGAAGAGAGAGACTAGTCAAAGCTTATCATGCAAAGCAGTTTGTTGATCACTCCCAATTAGGTTGAAATAATAGGCAAGATTTGTTACTATTTTTAATGTAGTCTGTTTAAAAATATATTCATAGTGAAATTTAGATTTTGAATGATAGCACTCTAATGATGGGCAGATAAATGTCATATGGTCCGAATAATTAATAAAATATAATACATAATTTTGTTTTCCGTTCAGAACGGAAAAAAAGCGGAATGGAACGAGACGATTCGTCCATATTTGAAATCTTAATAAATTAAACATTTAGAATGACTTGTGTTATTAATATATTAAAACTAGAGTATATTGTTTTTGACAATTACATTACCAAACTTGAATTTATATCAATGATACCACAATAATATTAGTACAAGTCACTAAATTAAAAATTTCGGTAACATATAACATTAGAGAACTTTTTAATGTATAAAGAATATAATATTATAAATATATTAAAAAGTTTTGAAACATTAAAATAATAAAAATTTCTGTATAATTTTAATGATATGTTTGTAGCCATAAAATATAGGGTTAATTAGTTTAATATTAGTTTTGAGATATACAATTAGAAAGTAACATATGTATAATAGTATTTAAGTAAATAGCAAACAGATAAAAAAGTTGAAGGAATTTGTCTTTACAAAAATTGTTAAAGAAAAGTAGTAAAAATATTTATGTAATTAAGGTAAATATGAAAAAAATTCATAAAAATATTAAATGTTGTAACACTTTACTATTTAATAACATAGTTGATTATTTTCGAAATTACAAATTCTATTGATCTCACAATATTGTTAACTATATCACACTATTTTATTATTATTTAAAGCATAGTTAACTATTTTTCAGAAATTAGTTAAGTTAACTATTTCATAGCATAGTTGTATAATTGTATTGATTTATGACATAGTTAATTATATGAAAATGTAGTTGTAATAGTTACTTATTTTAATATAGATATTTAACTATATTCAGAACGTATTTACTTATTATAGTTTGCATTATGGAAAAGAATAACATGTATAGTTGACTATTACTAGAAATATAGTTATCTATTATTATATGTAGTAGTGAATATAT